ACATATTTAGCCCTATTTAGGGTTAGGTTAATATTAGCCAATTTATATTTTCTGTGAAATAACTGTTGGTGAAATGATATGGACCCTATTTCCCTATCTCATTTGATATTTTCACACCTATATAAAATCATTCTTTTTTAAACCTTATTAAAGGTATCTCAACAGTTACTCAATAAATTCGGTAAACTTTTTTATTTGAATTCTATGAATCCATAGAATTTAAATAAAAAAAAGTACAATAAATTTCATTAGGTGGATGCTGAGATATCTTTTATCAAAGTCAGAAGACATTTTGCTGCAACTTATATTTTAATATATGTATAAAAAATTTTTTAATTAAAACTTTAATTGAAGATATCTCTAGACAACTACTCTATGAAATTTGATATATAAGATATTTTTGATCAAAATCAGATGACATTTGCTGCAGCTTATATTTTGATAAACGTTTAAAAAAAATTTTTAAAAATTTGATCAAAATATCTTGACAACTACCTTATAAAATTTGATGTACTTTTTTTTTATTTGAATTCTGTGGATTCATAGAGTTCAAATAAAAAAAAAAGGCACAACAAAATTTATATAATGGTTATTGAGATACCTTCGATTAAAGTTTTAAAAAAGAGTGATCTACAAGGGTGCAGAAATAGTGTGAAAATACTAACTCAACGTTTATTCATAAGAAAAAAGATTAATATAACCAATATCGCTATATCAATTTACCCAGTAATGGCAATCCATGGCAATTTGAATAGTTAACTATAAATGTAAGAACATTTAAAATAGTCGCAAATGATAAAGCACGATGAGATTTTCTTCCTGTAAGTGAGTGTACAATTGGTTTAATACCATTGTCCCAGTAATGATTATGAATATTTCTCTATTTTTTTTCTGATAGTGAATATATCGTTTAAAAAGCTATTTCACAGATTTCATTATTATCAAAGTTATATTTAACGGTTAAGTATTGTTTTTTTTTACCACGTAAAGTTGTATCTTTAGAACAAGTCATTGCATGAAGCATTCCTAAAAGAAGCATATTAAGCTCTGTTTTTAATAATTTTCGAATATTATCAAAAATTTGAAATGCCAATTCACAATCAATTTTAGCTAAACACATTTTAGTTTTACAGCAAACTGATGTATGAAGTTTAACAAAAAAAGCTTCCTTTTTCTGCTGATCTAAAAGAACCATCACTTTCTCATCAGTTTCTTGCTCATCATCACTTTCTTTAATAGTGTATTGAGCAAATATTTTTTAAAAATTTTCAATTTGTAAAGGCATAAGAATTTGATTATCAAATTCTTGTATTTTGTATATATTGTTATATTCTATATTTTCAAGGGATGATTCTTTTTTATTTAATGCTTCTTTAAATTCTAACTTATAATCATCGTTTGTTTGATAGAACATTTTAAGCTGATTAAATTCTTTTGCTAATGAATATATTTCTGAATATGTTTCTAAAAAAATTGAAGAAACTAATGTATATGTTGGATCCATATTTTTTGATAAGATCCAAAGAAGTTAAAGCCTAATGAATAATTTATAAGCACACAGTCGAGTAAATGCAACATCAAAATTTCATATGCTATACTGTCACTTCATTCATGCAAATTATTTTTTAAAGGATGCAAAGCATGCATAAAATACAAAGTACCTAAACTTAACGTTAAAACATTTTTTGTTTTCAACAAGGAATATACCACTCTAAATCTGAACACTAACTAATTTAAGTAATTACAACAATTTAAGCGATTAAAACACAAAAACAACTATCAATGCTATTGTTAATATTCCGAATTCAATAATAACCTTGTGCTTAAATTATCTTCAGAAATATGTATGATAAGCCTTCAATCAGGTTATTACATATAAATGCCTCATATGCATAAGTAAAAAAAAAACTCCAATTATAATACAGTTAACTACAGGTATACCAAAAATTTGGATACAGTATAACCTCGATATAACGAACTTTAATAAACTGAATCAGCTGCTATAAAAAAGAATTTTATCATTATAGTAAGGTACCTCAATATATCGAAATATTGATATATCAAACCAAACACCCTAGCTCCAGAGCTTCGTTACATCAAGGTTAGACTGTAATTCAAAGATAGTCAAGTAATAGTAACAACTATAATAATTAAACATTCATATTACATAATTAATAATAAAAATTCACTGATTAATAATGCATAATACTAATCTGATATATTCTATTATAATTATCATATCTCGATTTTTAGTAATGAGTGAATGGCTTATTTTTATTTTTATTTGCACCAACACTATGTTCATAACAATAAGCATATTAGAATATTTTATCAAGATCATTTATACCTGTAGACTTTTTTATAACAAATGAATGTCTCTTTTAATTCCAGCTCCAGAATATTCTGACTGGATTATTCATATCTATATTTTTCAGATAATGGACGAATGCTGAAAATGCCACAAACAAGAACATCAAGTAAGAGATTGCAAAATATCTATTTAATCAATAGAGAAAGAGTCATTTTAGACTCAGACACAGAAAATAATACAAGGCAAGAATCCTCTATAGATGCTAATCAAAATGAAGAATACTATAACACTCGATCAGGACGAATCCCAAAGCAATTAATTAAAAACAATGAAAATATCAAATGTGAATGTAATGTTAATTTTATTAGAAAAACTGGACCAAATATTTATCATTGCTGTAATGAAGAATGTTACCAGATCATCACAAAAGATTTATTCTTTTTACTAAAAAGAAATTATGCCAATCCTTTTGACTACCAAAATGAATTTCTTTTAGACAAAATAGTTTGTAAAAGATATTACCAAGAATACATTAAACATCTGATTTTAGATCAAAGATCTCTATCTTTTATTATATGCTTGTTCAGTGGCTTCATATTTCTGACTACTCTCAGTTTATCTGTATCTCCTTCTTTCTTTTTAACTGGAAAACAATAATAGGAATATTGACTCATGCCTTTTTCTAAAAGGCTATATTTCAACATATCTTTAAGTTAATCTTCAAATATTAAGATATGTTTCAGATTGTTGATTCTTATTAAACATATATACATAGGTGGTATTTCTTTTCCTCTAGTTCTTATTTTATACTAGATTAAGTTCATTTTCTCAACTTTTGACATGTTGAATACAAATATATTGGAAGTTTCCTTCATTGGTTTTTCTTGTATCTATCATTTTTTTTTCTGTAGATATGCAATCTCCAAAGTTCAGTTTATTGCAATTGTCTTTTGTTAATCTTAACACAACATCTGGATCTGGCTCTTTTATTATTCCATTCTTTTGTTCATCTTTATTTGACTAATAGATTACTTGACCCACAAACTTCTAACTCTCTAAATTATATAAATATAACCTCTTAGTTAATCCTAACCGGATAAGATAAGTACAAATTAAATTAAATGCCGTTTCAGGAGTTGTATAGTAATTACTAGTCATAAACAAATTTTTATCTAAATTGTCGTAAGGGTTAAGGAATGTATATTGCTTTATTGTTATACACACAATTCTGCTATGTGGTTTGAATATTTATTTATTTGTTTCACGCTTCTTCTTCTTCGTTACATCAGTCTTCCCCATCAAATGTCCCTTTACCAATTCACAACAGTAGCATGACACCGTTTATTAGGTAGTGGTTTATTTTCAAGAAAAATCCAAAGTGGAAGTTCTTTAGGATCAAATTCCTTATTTATTCAATTTGACGTGCACTTACATCATAGTCTGTTATAATAGACATTTTTATTATAAAATTTCACGTGCATTTACATCATAGTTTGTCATAATAAACTTTTTAATTACACTATCCCGATATATTATACCCTAACATTACACAACTATTCGCTGCATCGATCCTTCCTATTCCTATTTACCCTTGTTCTTCATATCCCTGCTATTACTACTACGTGCAACCCGACATAAATGAACAAATAAATCGATGATATTTAACGTTTAAGTCAGTTCCTCTTATTTTAGTAGAATTCTACGTACTAATTTGTATAGCTACAAAAATTTTCTTTATGCAGATCAATAGATGCTACGCATCGCTAATTCTACTGCCTCAGTTTTAATATTTCATTTAAACCGTAGTTTTATAATGCCTTTTTCAGGAAAGCCTTAAAAATTCTGGTCCACAGAAATTCATAATTTGGATATGAACATGAGTCAATTAATTTAGTTTTTTTTTGTTTTTAAAAAAAAAAAAAAAAAAAACGACCGACCGACCCAAGTTTCAGATTTCATGTAATGTTAAACGAAAAATTTACTTTGCGTGGCCTTATCTTCAAATTTTTTAATAACAAAATATTAAATTAAAGAGTATAATACATATAATAGCCAAATTTTTAAACGATGGTTGCTTAAATTATTTGGATGGTTATATGGCCTAGGTGCTGCAAAAACAATTTTTCTATATATTACCATTACGTATTTAATAAATCTAGGGTTTGCTATTATAAAACTTATTAATCCTTTTTTTTTTTTTTTATTCACATCCCTTTTATTTGTAGCACTCAGCCATATACTACAAGACTTTTGAACTTTGGATTCTTAAGTTTATTACTTTTAATTATAATTTTGACTTGATCATCCTTACTATCAGGTATAGATGAGGATGAAATTACCCTTCTTAATAAAAAGTTTTTTAGTTGAAATTGTTGAAATTATTGAATGGTGAAATTGGTAAAACTAAATCAAATAACAGAGAAATATTTAACCTCATTACTGCATTATAAAAAATGTTCAGGTCGTTACATATCGATCTACATATTGTATAATTTCTATTCTTGATATCTAATACAGTATAAATAAAACTACTAACTGCGTCAAAAAATCTAGAAAAATTGAACAATCCAAATCGGGGCACATAGCGATAGCGATTAGATGCACTCCTTGCTGTATCGGTATAAATTGTCAATTTGTGTAATTTGTGGAAATCATAAAATTTTAGCGGTTTTCGAGAATTGTTTTTTTAATGTCTTTTACGAGGAGTAAGTATTATCCTTGTAAAATATTTTTGTTTAAGGTCTTTATCTTATTATATTACTTGGTTCAATTTGTAGAAAGTATTTTTGCATGCGCACCAGCCACCACCCGTGGTGAGGCCATTCAGTTGGGCTCTGATTCAAAAGGAGAAAACTTTCTGTATGCGAATGGAAAAACTGTCATTATTCGTAATTTAGCTGTAAGTATCGTGAGTGACTCTCATAAAATCAGTCGTGATTTGGCTACATAAAATTAATTTCCTGGTTCTTAACTCACCCGAGTTTTGCGAGCTATAGGAAATTTTCATATATAATTTATGAAAATTTACGTGTATACATATACTCCAGAAGATCATATGAAGTTTATTATGAAACCAAAATATTAATTTAATGTATCTCCTAATTTTGTTATTTATCTAACAGAATCCAACTATAGCGACTGAATATACAGGGCATTCTGCGCATGCTACAGTGGCACGTTATTCTCCAAGTGGATATTACGTAGCTTCTGGCGGTAAAGTGTCATAATTATTATAAAGCATTTCTTCGTTGCATTCTTTCATTGCATAATATTTTTATGCATTACATTAGATATACACGGCAATGTTCGTATATGGGATGTCACTCAAGAAGAAAATATTCTAAAGAATGAGGTTAAAGTTATTTCTGGAAAAATCAGTGATATTGCTTGGGATTCTGAGAGTAAAAGATTGATTGCTGTTGGTAGTGGTAAAGAACGGTATGCTGTATAATTTTATATACTTACTTTGCATTTCACTATATTTATTCGTATTGAAATTTGATAAAATTTAATTTATTAATAAACTGTTAGATATGGTCGTGCATTTTTGTATGATACTGGATCTTCTGTCGGAGAAATAAGTGGTCATACCAAACCCATTAACAGTGTCAGTATTCGCCAACTACGCCCATTCCGTGCTGCAACAGCATCTGATGACTTTTCTGTTATATTCTTACATGGGGTACCGTATAAACATAACTTAACCATAAGGGATCACACAGCATTTGTTCAGGGTGTAAAATTTTCTCCTGATGGTGAAAGACTGGTGTCAGTAGGGTCAGATAAAAAGGTATCTTATCCTTTAGTAATACCATTTATTTTAATACTTTAACTTATTGTCATGGCTTAATAAATTGTGAAGGTGTTTTTATACGATGGGAAAACTGGTAGCAAAATACTGTGTCTTTCAGATATCGTTGCAAATGATTCTCACAAAGGTACTATTTTTGCCGTCTCTTGGTCACCTGATAGTAAACAACTTCTCACCTCGTCTGGTGATAAGACCGCAAAAATCTGGGATATTGAGTCCCAAAAAGTCGTACAGTAAGTTCAATTATAAACAAGTATATATATATATGTGTTGCTTTTCTAAAATATGTCTTTTAGGACCTTCTGCTTTTCTGATACCATCGATGATCAGCAAGTTGGTAATCTTTGGCAAGGCGAATATATCATTAGCTTGTCACTATCTGGGGACATCAACTATCTTGATCCAAAATCACCTTCACCTGTAAAGGTGGTTAAAGTAAGTTATATTTTTATGATCGATTATATTGTGATTTACAACTAATCACGATTCATTTCTGTGATGTATAGGGTCACCAAAAAGCAATAACTGCATTCACGCGAAGCGAAGATTCTACATTATTTACGGGAAGTTATGATGGACGTATTTATATCCTTTTAAAATTAAAACAAGAGAATTCATTCAATTTTGATATATCTTTAAAAGTTGTATATTATTTTAACAAATACCACACATGCATGGAATACTGAAGGTAGTGCCACTGTAGTGGGTGGCAATAGCCATACCAACTCAGTTACTCAGTTAGCTTCTCAAGGGAATAAAGTAGTTTCTGTCGGCATGGATGATACTGTTAGAATGATTGATGTTGATGTAAAATCATTCAGGTAACTAAAGAAAAAAAACTCAAGTTCTTTTTTATAAACAACAGAAAGTATAAATAATTATTCATTTCTTATTACAGTACATCTGTCGTTCCAACCGGTGCTTTACCGAAAGGTGTCGCAGTTACTGAAAATAAGATAATAATTGCCACTATAAATGATATACAACTTATCAGTAATGATAAGTGCATATCCAATATTAAAGTATCATCCCCTCCTGGTGCCATTGCTATCAATCCTACATCCACAGAAATTGCTGTCGGTTGCGAAGTAAGAAAATTCACTATCATCCTTTATACTTTGATATAGATGGCATTTGAATAAAAGAAAAATATTTATTAAACGTTATAGGATCAAAAAGTCCGAATATATAAGTTGAATGAGGATAAACTTGAAGAGCAAGGGGATAAATTATCGTCTGGTAGAGGAGCTATCACAGCTATCGCGTATTCTCCTAATGGTTCCTTACTTGCTGTTGGAGATTCTCAAGGAAAAATTTATGTATATGATACTGGGAGCAAAGAGGTGAATTATAATCTTAATAATATTTACCCATCTTTTTCGTAAAAAAAAAAAAATTGATGTATTTTTATTTCTTTTAAGGTCAAGATTTCAGAGTGGTGTTTCCATACTGCTCGTATCTATTCTATTGCTTGGTCACCAGATAGTCTTCATTTAGTCAGTGGATCTCTGGATACTAATATTTATGTATGGAGTGTCGAAAAGCCATCAAGTCGTATTGCTATTAAAGGTAATTGATAACTTCATTGCAGTATGTTATTGCCTAAAAAATATCACGACAGGATGAAACTCGCGCTGCCAGTTAGTAAAATCCGCACAGCACGGTTTTCACCGTCAAAATAAAAGCTGCACCAAAATTTCGAGCGAAGATATCTCGATAACCACCTGACTAAATTCGATGGATTTTTTTTATTTGAATTCTGTGAATCCATAGAACTCAAATAAAAAAAAATTCGAATTTGGTCAGGTAATTATTGATATATTTTTGCTCATAGGTTTAGAAAAAATCAAAACTCCTATCTGTATAGAAGCTGCGCCAAATTTTTTTTCCTAACTAAATTCGTTGAAGTTTTTTTTTATTTGAATTTTATAGATTTATTGAAATCAAATAAAAAAATTTTCATTGAATTTGGTCAAGTGGTTGTCGAGATATCTGTGCCAAAAGTTTTAAAAAAAATTTGGTGCAGCATTTTGATTTTTGAGTGAGGATTTTTTTATTTAATTTAATTCTATAAATTTATAGAAATTAAATAAAAAAAATCCATCGAATTTAGTCAGATGGTTGTCGAGATATCTTCACTCAAAGTTTTTTAAAAAAATTTGGCATAGTTTTATTCAGATAGGCTTTCTGATTTTTTCTAAACTTTGAGTGAAGATATCTCAACAACCACCTGACCAGATTCAATGAAAATTTTTTATTTTAATTCTATAGATTTATATAAAAAAATTCATCGAATTTAGTCAGGTGATTGTCAAGATATCTTCGCTCAAAGTTTTTAAAAAAAAATTTGGTACAGCTTCTATTCAGATAGACGTTTTGATTTTTCTAAACCTTTGAGCAAAAATATCGCAACAACTACCCGATCAAATTCGATGAAATTTTTTTACTTGAATTCTATGGATTCACAGAATTCAAATAAAAAAATTCATCGAATTTAGTCAGATGGTTATCGAGATATCTTCGCTCAAATTTTGGTGCAGCTTTTATTTTGACAGGGTGAAATCTGCAATACACGGATTTTGCTAACTGGCAGCGCGGGTTTCACCCTGTCGTAAAATATCTAATTTATTTGGTTTATTCGTTTCGGTTTGGGGATTTTACATTAAATTTTATTCTAAAAATAAAAGGCGCACATCAAGTTAGTGTATCTGGAGTAACATTTTTAGACAATAATACGGTATCTTCGGTTGGACAAGACGCATGCTTGAAAACTTGGGCACTTCAACACCCTTGAACGGAAAGCTCTGGTTTAATAATAAAACCTATTGGCATACTTTATTGAGTTTATGTGTGATAAATATATTTAATATTTATTTAAACATTCATGATTTTGTCTCAATACAATGTTTATTTGCATTTAAATTTTAGCTGGTTATGAGTTTTCTTATAAAGTAACAGATTATATCCAGTAATTAACATATAACTACAAATGATGACTCACCACGCCTGTGATTTTATTACTCATTATTTAAATAAAATGTAAAGTTTTTGCCGAGCAAGTTTCGCACAACAAATTGGCTTTACAGTAATGATGTTTACTAGTTTTATCAGACCTTTTTTTACCAAAAATTATGTTTCTAGCCAATCACACTATATCAGTCACAGGGTCAATATCAGTGTACCGTATTTGCGCGTAATAACTCTCATTTTTTTAAAAATTTGTTTTTTGTCTCAAAATAACGCCCATGCGTGTCCCAAAATAACGCGACCCCTTAAATATAGCATATTACATGTTTGATCGAATTTTTCAGGTTAAGTTCGTTAATAAAAGTAGAGCTTCCTCTTGTAACCCAAATTTGTCAAAATGATTCGAATTAACGCGCATGCGCGTCCCGAAATAACGCGCAGGTCTCAAAATAACGCGCACCTGCGCGTTATTACGCGCAAGTACGGTATAGCTTAAAAATTAATTTTTATTGATTGTTTCTGCTTAACTTCTGTAGAACTTAGATCCTATTTGGAAGTTAATCTACAGAAATACAAAGATGAATTGAGAAGCAAGACCACAATAATTTAATAAACCCAACACCGAATGCAACATCAATTTAGAAATACCAAATAGATCAATATGAGAACACAGAAATATCTTAGAAAGGATATTTGAAATATAATAAAATAGTTATCACCTCCTTTGAAAGAGGTTTAAAGGTAGTTGATCGTTGAAAGATAACATAATTTACTGTAAACTATTTTAAATCTAATAACGTGAAAAAACTTGCCAAATTTTTTTTATTAGAGATACTAAGATCAAAAAATAACTATCACAATGAAATCATGCATAAAATTAATGGATTATGATATGCGTTACGGTGTAAATTATTAATAAAAATTATATTCAAACACAATTTTAAAACAGTTTCTAATGAACACAATTTATTAATTGCTAAGATTAATTCCTCACACTTATGATTTTTAAAAATTTTTAAATAAAAATTCAGATACTTTATCAGCAAAATGTTCAATTGGGACTCTTATCCTAATCTCTTTTTCAAAAAACACATTCATAAGTTCTTCTAATTCATCAGATGAAAATTGAGCATGCAATTTTTTAAATGCAACCATATAAAGATCTAATAAAGTAGATAAATATTAAATTACTAAAATTATGTTAAAAAAGCAATGATAATCAATTCTTATTACACCAACCCTTTGACCATGGACATTCTCTTATGGCTCTATAATATATAGTCTTGGCTTTACTCATTTCTCCATTTTTAATTTCAAAGTTTATGTATAAAATCCATAATGCTATAGAACTTCTTGTGCTATACAAAAATAAATTTTAATTAATATCATGCATTGTATCATATATTGTCAAAGACAAAAAGAAGTGAAATAAATAAATACGTGGAGCACATCAGTGCTTTGTCGAATGTTGTTCGAACACGATTAATATCGCATGGTTGTTGGTGATGTAATTCCATATATATAGCAGTAGTCCATAGAATATAGCTTGGTTTCCTAAAAAAAAAAAACAAAAAAAGGAAAAAAATCTCAATAATACCAATAATTAATTAGTAACTATAATGCATATAGATGTTTAATATACTTTTGTAAAGCCTCATTTAAAATTGAATTTAATCCATGGGGTATCCTCCCACGAACTTCTTCATGAAAATACAATGATAAAAATATAGTATTGTTTGGAAATATACGTAATGCTCTTGAAAGGACCTCTTGTAATAATTTTCCAGGTTCATTATCTGATACTGATACAAACTTTTCAGAGAATGAATGTTGATAAATTAATTTTACGTAAGTGTTAATTTAGTTAAGGTATTAATATTTGATATATGGTCATTTATTTATAATTGACACTAAAAAGGATATGATATATATAACCATTCTGTCTCCACATTAACATTATCATTCCTAATTTCCAGATAATGGAGCGTGTCTTCAAATACTTTGCTTGCTTGCTGTAAATTCTGACTAAGACATTCTAATAATGCATAACATACACAATAATGTAGTGAATTACGTGTTTCAATCTGTGAGGTTGAAGGTGTTGTTATTCGTGCTATCTGTTGTGCATAATACTAAATATTTCGCAAAAAAAAAAAAAAATTTGAATTAAAATTGAATTTAAAATCAAATAGTCATGAAAGTTGTTGATAATATTAATATGTTCTGAAAATTACCTTTCTGGCCTTAAGTAACTTTGTGATAGGGACATCTGATTCGGATATCGAATCTATTGAAAAAGCGTATTTTCAAATGTCAAACTAACGAACAAAGTTATAGGCAACTCGTGGTATATGAACATACCTATCGTCCCCTGTTCTTCAGTCAAGTTTATGAGAATATCTATAAATGTGTAGTAAAGGACTAAAGACAAATAAACTCATAAACAGAAATAAAACTTCAACACAAAAAGGATACTAATTGCAGTCTTTTGACGGCCTTGTTCTATTTCCATTTCAGCGAACGATCGATGCAATAGTGGTGCCACAAAACGGTACTGTTCTGGAAATGTACGATATTGTGTAATAGCGCCCAAGTAAACCTTACGTGCCTTAAATTCGCGTAAATTAAATCAATATCACGATACACATTTATAAAAATCCAAATAAATATATGAAATATAAAGTATACCTCAGAAATATTATTTGAAGATTTTTCTACTTGCGCATAACCATTCCAAAGTGAAAGATTCATAGCGTCACGTTTGAGCAAGTTCTTTGCAAGATTCCGTCCACTAAAATAATTTATATAAATTGAGCGAAATTAAAACTTATAAATGGAAATATGCTTAGGATCCAAATACCTTGACGCGTCATAAAGATATTCAAGTGATAGACGACATAGTTTTATCTCTGTATCGTTTACAATCTGCCGTAGTTGATAAAAAGCATTCCTGAATCGAGATATAAAATCAGCATCAGATTGCTACACTATTTTCCAAAGAATTGCCAAATAACAGCTAACCTAGAAAAGTTCATATTGACATCCAATATATCAACATAATTGCAAATAGAGAACCAAGTTTGCGAATTGAACAATGTAATATCATCCTGAGGGAAGGCTTTTATTGGAAATATAAATGTACGAGTAACAGATCTGTCCGTAGACCAAAAACTGACGTTTTCAATTGATTCATTTGAAAGTTTATTGTATAAGAACGTGTCTGTAATCATTGGATTCGATGATGAATATCCAGGATTATATGTCAAGCCAGTAAAGGCAAGACAAGCATATATAAGCTCAATACGTGATTGATGAGACGTTAAGTCAAACAAGAACGTGCGGATATCGTCAAATAAAACGACACGGTAAGGATCCTCTAAATTGGGATCATCACCTTGAAAAAAAAAAAAAATTATTATTTAATAATCTGGTATAGTATAATGTAAAGTAATAAATTATCAATACTTTTTATGACGTACTTGAATGCGTAGGGAGCAATTGAGAGTTATAAAGAATCTCGGCTTTAGCCCATTTCTCGTACATATCACCTATAGAATAATAAAGTAATGAGACTTACAAATAAAGAATCTTATGATGAATTATATATAATATTGCTAACCTTCTGACGATAAATTCGCTAAAAGATTAGAGGCATCCGCAGATGATTCAACATTTTCAATGCCTTAAAAAAAAAATTATGTTATCATCTAGAAAGATTAATGACTTCATAGAAAATAATAATCTTTATGCTAAAATATACCTTGCTCAAAGTAGTAAGACCACCCTTTGGCATCCTATTAACAGTATATATAATATTTAATAAAATATTAATTAAATGTGTGTTGAAGAAAAAAACAAATGAAATATCAATTATACATCTTCGCCAAAACGAGGCAATTCTGCTTCCCAGAAGTTTTCAAAAGCAACTACACGATCGTAGAAATCTTTTTGTTGTATTTTCTTGGGGGCAAAAAACGTAAGTTCTATCATTGCTTGCCAACATGCATATGCCCTTTCACTGTAACCTAATTAAACTTTTGTTTATAAAATGAACAAAAAATGTAAATGATGAATTACAACATTGAAATAATATTCATACCTGATTGTAACATAAAAAAACAAGCTCGTTGGAAGATATGTATCATTATCCGCTCAATTTTAAGTTTTTCTAATTAAGAAAAAAAAATATAGAAAAATTCATAAATGAATATATATATATTCATTAAGTATAATGAAAAAAAAACCCACCATCGCTGTCTACACATACTACGAATTCCTTTCGAAGCAAATGCAAACAATCTTCAAAGACTTGAATGCATTGACTAACCGTAAAAGAAACAAGATTTGTTTGCCGAAAATCAAGATATTTCATCCAAAGATTAATATTTCTAGAATTCTCTTTGAGAACTTGATCCCATTTCGTAAGTAACTTTAGTATACTTATAAATATTTATAATTATACCTTTGTTAGAATGCATACTTTTTTTTTACAGAATGTATATGAATTTTAATTAAACACATACTCCCAATGCTCTTCACAGCATTTCATGTAAGCAATAAGAAGAGCTGTATCATTTGGATTTGCCTCCAAGGCTTTCTCAAAGATGCTAAGTTTAACTTCATTGATGCTTGATCTTGTTATAGAAGAATCAGTCTTTTTATTTTTTCCAAATTGTAAGCTTTTATCTTGAAATGCAATAAATTCAAGCCATAAGTTAACATCATTTTGATTCTATAAATTTTAAAGACACAAGAATTAGAAAAATGAATAAAAATGTTAAACAATTATAATATCATTACCTGATCTAGTTGAATGTTAAATTCTTTGATCTTTTGCCTTATGGCATCCTCTGACATTTCTTCTTGTATCTCGGTTTCAGGTACCTGTTTCTCTTTACTCCCTCTTTTGCGTTTTTTGCTAAAATATAATTATGATAAAGTGTTTAATCATATTATATTATGATTATCTAGCAATTCGAGAAACGAACAGAAAAATTTTAGTTTACCTCTTGGAATCTTGCATCATATTGGCAGAGTCTAAAGATCCAATATCGATGCAAGATTTGCTTTTAAATGAAGATCTCGTATCACCTTCCTTGTATGGATAATTTCCCTTTCGTTAATATTGACCAATAAAATTTCAAGATCATAAAAAATAGAAACGAAAACAAAAAAAATTTTAATTAAAGAAACCACATAATTAAGAATCTTCTTGTGAAATTTTAGTAAGTTTCCTAATCCTAACCCTAAGTATAACGCAGTTTTATTGATTTTAATTTTTTACAGGTGGACCAATTTTGTTGGTACTCCACCTAAAATAAATATTCATTTCATTCGCGTTACTGTAATTTAGTCGGTGAGCATAAAGAACATTTATTATATAGGTATTTAATTTCATTTTAGTCATATTAATTTAATGAGTGAGTATAAAGAATATTTATTGTAATCTAAGTGTCTAAAATAAGCTATTCAAGTTCGTGAATGTTTGTACTCTTTACTGTAATTTCATTTTATTCGCATTAATTTAGCGGATAGTATAAACATTTATTAGGTTAAGTATAGTTCATGAATATTTTTAATTTCATCTTATTCATTAATTAGTCAGTAAGCATAAAGTTATTTGCATTTATAATTTAAGAATTGCATAAGTCATATGAATAAATACGAAATATAATACAATTTTGAATATTATAAAAAAGGTTTTCCACTTAGAACTACTGAACTAGTGTTTAATGAACATATGATTGAATGAATTCTTTTGACAGACTAAATTAAAAAATTAGCGAAGGAAGATTTAGTTATATTTTCCGCAACCTGGTTGGATGGTATATACGAAAATAAATAATTGATTCTTTAGGGAGTAAGTATAAAAATATAAAGAAAATAGTATTAAATATAAAATTCTAAATTAATAAGATTTAAAAATATTTTATCCACGTTAAATTAGTTCGTAAGTAATATTTATTACTGTATTAATTTAAGTATTTTAAATAAGCTATTCAAATTCACGAATATTCATAATTTCATTTTATTCGCGTTAATTTAGTCAGTAAGTATAAATCTAAATAATTAAAATAAGGTATTCAAAGTTCATGAATATTTATTATATTTATTATATTTATTATTTTATTTGCATTCATTTAGTCTGTGAGTATAAAGAACACTTGTTAGTCTAATTATTGAAAATAAGCTACTCAAGTTCTTGAATATTTATTCTCTAATTTCGTTTATTTGCGTTAATTAGTCTGTGAGTAAATATTTAAAATACTGAAATAAGCTATTCAAGTTCCCAAATTTACTTATTTAGTCGTGTTAATTTAGGAGGTGAGTACAAAGAACACTTATTAATCTAATCATTTAAAATAAACTATTCAAGTTCACTAATTTACTTATTATTCATGCTAATTTAGTCGGTGAGTATAATGAACACATTAATCTAAGTATTTGAATAATCTATTCAAGTCCATGAATATTTATATTTAATTTCATTTTATTTGCGGCAACTTAGTGTGTGAGTGTAAAGAAAATTTATTTGACAAATTAAAATGAAATCAGATTACTATAAATGACTATAAATGACTATAAATGACTATAAATGAAATATTAACTATAGTAGAGAGTTATTTATTTCTATTTGTAAGCTCATTTATATAATAATAATGAATACTTTTACGATCGTAAGTTTCTTTTGAAAAAAATAAACTATTTCATAAAACAAAAAAAGAACTTTACAAACTTCCACTTATTTTCAAAATAAGTTAACTCTGAAACTCCTAATATGAGAATTACATGTTGAAAATTTTTTGTGTTCATTTTTTTTAGCATTTGTTTTAGTCTTGGTTAGGATTTAAAGTTATATTTATTAATAAAAAAGTATATGTGGGTTTTAGCGTTAAAAAAAGTCCCAAATTTATTTTAATCTGATTTCATGTTAAACTGCGATATTTATTACTTTAAGTGTTTAACTAGGCCATTCAATTCATGAATATCATATTTACTATTTAATTTATTTTTATTCATGCTAATTTAGGATGTGAGTAGAAAGAACATTTATTAACCTAAGTATTTTAAATACCGTAAGCTATTCAAGTTCATGAATATTTACTATTTAATTTCATTTCATTCTCGTTAATTCAGAGAGTAAGTATAAGAATACTTATTAATCTAAGTATTTTAAATAAGCTATTCAAGTTTATAAATATTTACTATTTGATTTCATTTCATTCTCGTTAATTTAGAGAGTAAGTATAAGAATACTTATTAATCTAAGTATTTTATTATCAATATTTACCATTTTATTCGCGTCAATTAGTCGGTAAGCATAAAAATAATTTTATTTAAATTGTCGCATGAATAATTTGAAATAACATAATGCAATCGATACTGTAATTTAATAGATATTCTATTTGTGGAAAATGTGCACATTGCAATGAATATAACACTGGGGTGTCTAATGCATATCAATTTACAAACATAGTGCAGGTGTATAGTGAAAATCACTAGTTGGACTTTTTTATAATTAAAATTTTTAAGATCTGCACGCAATATCAAAAACTATAGAAAAGTTGCCATCTTTTGTCCTTAATTCCTCCTGTAATATCAACCATTTTTTAGTTCTATAAGCACAAAATGTTTAATAAAATGTGTCTTTACATGGTAACAACGTTAGAATTTTTATTTTACTAATATAAAAGTCTCTAATTCGAAGCGCAGTTAGCCTATTTAAAAGTCATATGACTGATTTTATTATAACATTATACAAGATAATGATAAAATAAAAAAAATAGATCTATTTTATTCGATGATTCCTACTTCGAACCAACTTTTTAAGCATAGAGAAATTCTGCCAGTTTCTCTAAGAATACTACTCCTAGTAATATTTACATTATTTTTTATAACAGAAAAAATATTATTACAAGGAACACAAACAGCCTGTAAAGCAAGGTGATCTGCTGCAATGCTAGCTAAGGTTGGAAAGTAAGAGGCGTTGACTTTCCACCACAATAAGGAACTTACTTCTACTTCTTGAGGTAAAGAAAGATAAGTTATTAACTTCTTTGCTTCGGCTTCGACCTTGTCTTTATTTCTAAGATTTCTAAAAAAATCTAATGGATCTTCATTTGCCTTATATGTTGAATAAAGGGTTTTTAGTTGATTAATAGCCATTTCCCAGTCCGTTACATGAAAAGTTTCGAACTTAGTCGATGGATCAATTAGAGTAGGAATAACAGAGGATTTTGAAAGATAAGTAGTCCAATACTCCTCCAATTTGTCTTTCATTTTTCGGGCTGCTTCATAATGTGTATTAATGAAAATATATTGATTTAGATGCATTGAAAGACCCAAAATAATTAATCTTATAGAACCATGGGAGGGTTGTGAAGTGCCCGAAAGGATTAAATTTGCCTTATAAAATGGTTCAAAAAGTTTAACAATTTCTTCAATTATTGTCAATCGCTAGCTTCTAAGTAATCGCTTTTCATATTTGGATATAATTGTATAAGACCGTCAATAATTGATCAAATTTGAACGAACTGCTTGAGCATCAAATAGGTGGAATTCCACTGTGTATCGACATCAACTATAGGGTGGAGAAAAGGACAGTCTAGAAGAAAAGAAATGCTCTTCATCTCTTCCAAGATCAAAGGTAATTCTTTTAATTTATTGCAAAATTGCCTAACTTTTTGAATTTGGCCTAGGTAGTTTGTCTGTCCCACTTTAATTATG